GCAGCATTCCAAGTATGAGTGTAGGATTTCAGGGTCTCTGAGTCACACTGCTATTGGAAGGTGCATTCCCACTCTCGGTAAGTGTTTTTTGAGTGGCCAGGTGCTTCTGTGTGAGAGATGCCTTCTCTGGAGAATTCCAGAGGGTGATGGGAAATAACTGGCAGGGATGTGGCTGTTGGCATTACGAGGCAAAGGACAGAATTGCAAAACAGCTCTCCTTCCCTGAACCCAGTGCAACCTTCCTCTTTGAGGGTCATCTCAGTGGAGCTTCCTGCTCTGATTGATGCCACTGGGTGAAGTAGACACGATGGTTTGGGTACAGGTTCTCAAAATGTTTTCCGTGGATCACTTCCATTGAACCAGTTGGGGTATCTGTTACCAACCAGATTTCTGGCCTTTGCCAAGACCCCATGAATCAAAGGAAGGGGCCTAGGAATCTGTTTCAGAGAGGTGGTATTTTAATACACAAATATTGGAAACGGCTGGCCTATGGGTACACTTCATGGGGGAAAGTTGCTGTTTCCTTTAACTATTCTGACTCCCACTGTATATAGTTAATCAGCTACTACTAAAACTGTACTCTTGCACACAGCAACATGTAAATATTTCTCAAATGGTGAGTTTTCTGAGATGGCCTTAACCATGTTCTTTCTCCCAAGACTGCTTCTAAGTTTGGCTATGCTTTTTCCATCTTTTTTGAGCAACTTCTCAGCTTTTAAAACCAAATACTGATACTCCTTCTGCAAGCAACCACCTTAGCTTCTGTCAGGGAGCTCACTGAGACTCCAAAATGATGTGGTATTTCTGCAACTCTCTTGCCAGAGAATTAACTGGAAATTAATGTGAGTGCACCTTCCAGTCAAGGTGACTTCTCGGTGTAAGATTAAGTGTGTCATGTCACTTAATCCCTATGAAAAGTATAGTACTGGACGGATTTAGGGTTTGGAGAGTGCAGTATCATAAAAATGGCCACAGATTCTCTGGGAGGTGGGATCTGTGTCCCTCCCCTTAAATCTGGGCAGGCCCTGTCATGCTGTTTGGGATCCCAAGTACAGAGGCATCCCACCAAGGTGCCAAGTGTAAGAATTAAACCACTGTGGACCCTCCAGACCAACTCAGTCTCAGCTGATATTACAGAAGGACCCCAGTCAAGGCCTCAGAGAACAGATGAACTGCTCAGCCAAGCCCTGCCTGAATTTCCTGACTTACAAAATCAAGGGAGATAATAAAAGGGTTGTTTTTTTTTTTGTCACTCATCTACGGGAAGTGTGTTAGGTGGAAATAGATAACTGAATGTGTCTTTTGTGGAGGGTAACTCTGTTGCTACATCAGCTTACTCTCATCCATACATGAGTTTTTAATTTTTCCCTCTGGAGGGAGTAAGTCAGAAAACCAGTAGCAATATTGGTAACAATAATCCATTGGAATAAAATGCCTGCAAATACTTACTGGAAGAACATAAATTAGGTACAGCCTAAGACAAACGTATGCTTTACCTAATGAACACAGAGCCATTTAAGGATTTCTCTTGATTATTAAAACAGCATACTTCCCAATATTTAAGAGGGAATAGAATATTGAGATGAATCTATAATGGAGCAATCAGGCACTGAGAGATTAAACCAGTTGCTTAAATTTTCATCATAGTGGCCAGTAACACATTTATACATAGAACTAGATCCCACAGACCAGTGGCTTTCAAATTTCTTTGAAATTCATAGAAATAAATGTTTTGCCTGAACCTGGTATACATACATAGACTCGAGCAGACTTCATGAAATAGTGCTTACCCTATTACATATGATGAACTCTAAGAAACTTTGTTCTATCTTCCTTTAAAAAATGCTGATAAACATACTAAGTAAATTTCATGACCCATTAGTGGCTTACACTCTGCAGTATGAAAAACACTGCCCTAGACACCAAGCTTCCTGCTGGGACCAGGGATTCTGTCCTATTCACCACTGTGTACACAGGTGCGTAGA